GTACTCCGGTGTGATACAAAGGTACCACAAGCATGCGCGCATACTTTTTCTAAAGGAGTGGGGGTACAAATTGGCATCACAACACAAGTGGTCTGCTTTGAATGACCTGGAGAAGGAAGACATGATCATATTCAACGCTTGGAATAGTATTCCTGACTCTTACGATCAGCTGAAAAAGCTCGCTTTTGCTGTTCTTTCCCTTTTCGGTTCTACATATATATGCGAACAATCTTTTTCAAGCATGAACATTATCAAGAGTAAACTGAGAAGTCCTCTTATTGATGAGAACTTGGAATCATGCCTAATATTAAAAACAACAGCATACAAACCTGACTTACGCAAACTTTCCAAGGAGATGCAAGCACATTGTTCGCATTAATAAATATTTATTAAGTATGATATTTAGTTTTATTTAGTGTACTACTTATTTAATGTAATAAAAGTTTACTAAACAAGCAGATTTGGCTCCTAACTTTTTTAAAAATTGCTGTAATGTTCATATTTGGCTCTTAAGTTTCCCGACCGCTGCATTAAGACATTAGTCTATAAGACAAAAGACATTAGTCTTTTTACGTTAGACATTAGTCAAACACTAATTGTCGTGTTACACTGAAATTCCTGTTCTAATTACGGTAAAAAGTACAGGTATTCAGAGAGCCGTTACCTTTTACCGTAAAATCCATTTTTACCCGAACGTGTTTCGAAACAAAAAACTGATGAACCGTACTTTTTTACAGTAATAATTACTGTTAAATCGCTGAATAACTCCATCTAAATAAATATTACAGTAAAAATTACTGTAGAATATTTTGCGGTAAAAATGGATTTTATGGATTAAGCAACTTAAGTACCAGTAATACCATAATTATATAGGATATTTTTTACCGGGTACTAATTATAAAACTTATTTATAAAGATAAGTAATAAGGAATCAGAAAATGTAATGAATTAAATATTAATAGGCAACTAAGCATAAGCGGATAAACTAAGTCCCTTTTTGAATTTGTAATTATGCTAGAATATTACACAAAAATGATGAATGCATTAAGAAAAGATTACTCAAAATTTAATAAGGCAGAATTTTGCTTCGTTTTCATCTGAAATGTTTTGTAAAGTATTTTTTCTACATAAATTTAATAAACACATTACAAATTTAAGTTTATATATGTCCTTAAAAGTAGAGAAAATTTGAATGCCTGTAATATTATTAATTCAAAAAATAATTTTTAGTTCAGCCATCAGAAACATTATTTTTTAAAAAACAATTAACATGAGCAAATTGGCCCCATTAATGTCTTATATTAATGTTCCATATATTATTATTTGCCATTTGACAATAACTCTGAGGATAAATAATACATATGGTGATATTGTCCTAGTTTATATTTAATGACAATAAATGATAAAATATCTAAATAGCTATTTAATCATGTATTTTTTGAGATTTAATTGTATTTCTCATTTGCAGAAGTTTCATTATTGTATGAAATGTTACTGATGTTTCTATTGTAATTTATGTTATAGGTGTCGGTAAAACCGTATAGAAACATTTCATTGCAAAAATGTTCGGCTTTCTGTAGAATACCGATTCTTTCTATAGAATGCTGAAAATTTGCCGGTAAAGTAGGAAACGATTTAACTTTTTCCATTCTATAGAATGGCAAATAAGAAACCTACAAAGTATGAAATACATTAGACATTCTATAAAATGCAAAGGTATTCTAGATAATACCTGTGTTTTATACATAGCGGGATTGTGGGTAATATCCAAAATAATCGACCTAAAAATAACATTAATATTTTTGAAATGATGGCTTTTTTTCATGCTTTATTTAAAAAAGCATTTTTCATTCTATTGAATTTTAAATAGGAAAAATTCAAAAATAAAAAGCTGAGCTCAAAAGTTTGTCGAAATGTTCTAGTAATACATATTTTATTTATAATCGTTTGCAGTAATAACAAATTTATTTATATCGTCTGTAATTGAATATTTTCCTTACGGAAATAAATAACTCTAATCTAAATATGAATACCAAAAACGTGTAAAGCAGATTGCTTTAATTATTTCTACTGACCGTTATATCAATGGAGCATCAAAGAAAAACAATAGAGAATGTTCATAAACATCTTCCAGTTATCTCACTATTGCAGTGATTCAGTCATTTATTTCTTCAAGTCAAAGTTGCGATCAAAAACAATCGCAAATTGGACACAGATTGCAATCTGTGTCCACAAGCCGAACGAGTGGAAATTTTTTTTAATAAAAACTGTGTTACTCTTAAAAAATTTGATTGTATCATCAATCTAAAGAGGGTGTAGTATAAACGGCACGCAAATAGATTCTTATAGAAGAATATCTTAATAAAAAAGAACATGCACCATTTCCGCCCACAACAAAAGTCTGTTTAAAGATTTACAACGAATTCCATGCTTGACCTCTCTCCAAGGAAGGGCGCTTCCGCAGAAGTGGTTTACTGAACTCTTAGAACCCCGTATATAAAAACATGAGAAATGAAATAGAACGTCAGATCATAACTACAGATTCAAGGTAAGATTCCATATCATAATTCCTACTAAAACGTTTTCGTTCGGAAATATTCTACTTGAAGTTATATTTCTCGTACGTTAGAGGAAAAATTCCGAATTCTTATGTTGTATACAAAATCTTTATTTCAAAATCACCTCTTTTTCTAGCTATCATGGCGTAAAATATTATTTTAGACAGAGAGTACTTTGTATTTATCAGAAATGATATTTTAAGGCGAAAAAAATAAAGATTTATTTAAGCAAACTATTTTGAAAATTTGACACATTTGTGAAATCGTTTTCTGATTTTAAGCTTTTAACTGTCTTTTAACTATGTCTAAAACCATAAAATAGTGTAAAAGCTGACGCACACTTATGGTAAAGTAATAATAATTACACTTAGCTACAAGTTGAACTTCGTACAAGAGAGTACTTTGTAGTTATTGGAAATGATATTATAAAGCGAAAAAAATAAAGATTTATTTTAGCAAACTATTTTGAAAATTTTACACATTTGCGAAATCGTTTTCTGAGTTTAAGCTCTTAACTGTCTTCTAACTAAACTACGATGTTCAAAAACACATTATAGTTCATTTCTGACAATAATCGTTTGAAATTAATATAAAATATCAGCACTTATTTGTTAAAGGAAAAATAAAAGCTTACTTTATCTGCATTCTATTTATTTGCATAGTACTTTACATGTATACTATTTGCATAAGTAATATCTTTGTTGTAAAGCAAGGATAATATTGAACAGTTTAATATTGTAATTATATTATATTATAGTTTAGTTTAAAAAAACATTATCATGACATATTTTATCGACTTATTTTCTTTTTATTATTTTCTTCTAAATTTTAGCCGAACTTTTAAACTGGATTTGTTTGCATTTAGAAAAAATGGAAACTTGTTTTATAATTATTTAGATTTTACATTTATTTCTTAAAGCTTAATTGTAAATATGCAAATATTTTTAAAACAAATCTTTATACTTTTAGAACACCTGTATACATAATAAATAAAGTAAATGATAGATAAAATTTAGTTGACATTTTTTAATTTTCATTTACTTACCTTAAATTACTAGTCTCACTATCTTATCACCTTGCTTTAAATACGTTAACAAAATTTAAATTTAAAAATACTTTTAAAGTAATTATTTTCCAGCCAAGTATCTGTTTGTACGGTTAAAGTTCACGAAAATTCAACTTAAATTTAATTTTTGAAAATTCTTCTCTAAAATAATTCAGCCTTTAAAATGTGTCGGAGGTAATAAAATTGAGAAACGAGATTTAAAAAAGGAATATTATGAAATTGGGATTATAAAGATTAGATGAATTATTGTTTTGAAAGATTATTGTTAATTAAACTTCATAAATGTTTTATTTTGTTGTAATGAAATTTGAAGGCAGATTGTCATTTGCTTTTGTACGTGTCAATAAAATATTAGATTAAGTCTTAGGAAACAGTTAATATAATAACAGTTAATAAAATATAATCTGAAATAAAGAAAAACAAAGTATTCTCGAAAATATGACGGTAGAGTTTTAAACTTGCTTAATAAAATAAGTTTAAAACTCTAACGTCATATTTTAAAGAAACTTTGTTTCTCTTTATTTCAGATTATATTTTAAGTAAATCATTTATGATAAAGAAATAAATTAGAAAATTATGAGAGTTTAAAAAATATTTAGAATTGAGTTAATTTGTTGACAATTTTTCCATAAATTATATAGGTTGTTCTGTAGCAGTTAAAATGTAGCTCTTGAATCTTTCCAAAACCAAAACCAATTAATTTTATTACAATAAATTAAGCTGCTTCAGATCTCTAATTAATAATTAAGTGAGGGAGAAACAAAACCCGTTATTGACGTCTGTTGAATTTTTAGTGAGGAAAACGGAATGAAAAATTTCAAGTTTAATTGCCTGGCGAAACTTGAATGTGCTTCTAAACTTTGCTTTTAACCTTCTATTTCTTTCGACAATCAACCAAATCTGGCTTTCCTCTGTCGTGATTCCTTAAATATCGATACTGTTTTTGTTTCTCCCTGCCTAACTATTACTTTATGACCACCGATGTGCATATTTTTGCTCTTTTCCCCAAGTATTTAAAAAATATATGTTAAATTTTTCGTTCTGTATCACCATGTATATTACATGAAAATATCTTTTATTAGCCCTAGAAACTATGTATTGATAGTTCTTTTTCCCTTAGCTATTCAATATGTCAATTCTAAAATTTTTGATGATGGCACTGGTCTTGGTAATCGGTCAAAATCTAGTGAACTGTGGTTTTTCCGATCCTCTTGACAATCCTGCCAATGTTGATCACGTGATTACCTCTTTGAAAGTCCCCAAAATAAAAGACAACACAACCACAGCAGCAGCAGCAAACCTTGAGCGACAGGCCTTCTTCCCCATGTCAACTTTCGCGACTCTGGGATCTATGGGAGGATTACGAACCATCATGATGGGCGGCATGCTGTATGGACTTTCTCTGATACCCGCCGTAATGATGGCTATGGGTGGGAACGGCTTGAGTGGCATCATGTCATCACTAAAGCTAAGGAGAGACACAAGTTCTGCCAAGCTGCCATTGCTGTCCGAATCACAAACGAGAAGGCTTCTTCAGATGTTGCATTCAGCTTTCAGGCAATGGAATGTTGCAGATGATTTATGCAAGCAACTCTTCGTTTGTCAGATGTACAGACAAGTGTCCCAAAATGGAGTCAGTCCTGATTTGGAGCTTTTCAAGGAAGCTTTACTGCACATGTTGGAGTAAGTTCTTAGACATTTTTTTTAATTGTTAGTTGTCACATTACACTGCTAGAATTCACAATATCGTTAAAATTTGCTACAACCAATTTCTAAGTGGCCAAATTGAACCCTCTATTACCAAACTTTTTTAATTTTTTCTTACGGTACTTTCGTTCAACTTGAACTGAAATACGATATAATTTTGCCCCTTATCAGGATAACTGCAAATTTGCTGCAAATTGCGATTTTAAATAACATTTCTAAAATCTGAACATCATTTATAGAATTATAAAATTTACTATGAAAAATGAAAATAAATTATTTTTTGGCTAAAAATGAGAAAAATGGCATATACATGCTTATAATTTTTCAAAAGAATGTATGCCACGGATTGTATTTATTTTTCCTGCTTCTTTCAAAAATCTAAATTTAAAATATCTTCCCGAATCTTTTAAAATTACTTTCTAAACTTGCACACATAATATTTTAAAATAGCCGCCTAAATTTTAAACTTGCTGCAAAATTTTAAATTCCTATTTTAAAAAAAATATTCCTTAAATCTCGAAAAATGCGACCTTGTATAGAAATTTTTTGATACATGAAACAAAAACTACGAAGAAACGCATATTTCATAAAAATATAAATGTTTATATTCACTTATTCAAATATGAATAAGTGAATCATAAAATTAGATATTATTTAAGTAACTAACATTGTTATTAGACATTCTTCTTAATTTCACTTTTTAATCGACTGCTTATTTCTCTATTGCAACGGTTTCTAAATTTTTTCGACTATGGAACCCTTAGAGATCGACCTTTTTTTGGCAACCTTAAGTGATCGACCCTTTAATGAATAAATTTCATTAGCAATTGTGAACATATTTATTGATGGAAGACTATTAATTATTTTGAAAACATTTAGTGAATGAATGAAGAATGAAATTTTTTCATCGATATTAATCTTAAAATTGGGTTTTAGGTCGGAATTCCCAGTTCTAGGGAAGCATCTTGTTTTAATTTAATCTTAATGCACTGAAAATGAGGGCGCTGAAATACATTTTCCGTTGAAAAAGAACGAAAAAAGCGAAAATAAGTATTGATAGAAAAATATATGGTTAACATTATGAAATTTGGTTATTTCATTCGTAGCGACATACTAATGCAATTTATCCATAAATGCATATCATTTTCATAATTCATTCATTATATTATTATTGGTAAAAAACGTTGTTTTGAATTTTCTTTCTTCACAAGCATTTTAATTGGAATAATTTCATAAAAATGATGGAAATATAAAATATTTAATGAATTATTAATTGGATATAAATATAATTGCAAGTTTGTAAATAACTAGTTGAAGTAAGTACTAATCTTGGTATGCCAGAGACCCTTCCGCGGAACCCTAGGGTTCCGTGGAATACCATTTAGTAAGCCCTGCTCTATTACATTGACAAAAACTCGATTTGAATAATCGAATCAACAGTTCGTTTATTTATTTATTTATTTAAGTGGGCAACCATATAAATTCTCAGTTATAGAGCTGAATACGGCTTAATCAGTGCATGAACTCCAATAATTAAGAGCGTTAATTAAGAACATGTATGAAAAATTATTTTCTTCGGGTATAAATAATAAATTAGCAATTGGATACTTGCAAGTGACATCATCGTAGGTAAATAGTGCCATTTGTCGATTTAGAAGCCAATCAGGTTCGGCACACATGCGCTGCCTGCAGCTATCCAATTAAATATGATTCAAATCACATGGTTTGGTATAATCACTTTACTTTTCCTGGAGTTGCAAGTCGCCTATTGGATGAACGGAGAAAGTTTATTTTTGTGTTTCGAAAATACGTTTGGGTTAATTTTCCAGAAATCAATGTTGATTTAACAAGTGTTTCCGTTAACTCGGACAGCATTAAGATTGGGAAGGGAAAAAAAACAGTGATTGACATCTTTCTGGAGTATGATGAATTTTACTCATTGTGGTTAGTAATTTTGGATATAGTTTACTATATTTTTTTTCTTTACTTTTTTGTAATCTGACAAAAATATATTTGGATCCATTCAACTTAATTTCGTAGCTTAAATTACGCAAAAAAAACAGATTTTTTTTTGCCTTCACAAATCTAAAAACAGAAAAAGGTGTAATGCTAAATTACCCTTCTGAAAATTCTGATTGCAGAATTATATTACCATATAAAATTCTTAGAAATTTCGGAATAACATCCGTTATCTTTTATTCTAATCAGGCTTATTCTATTGGGCTTATTTTAGTCTTTTTTATTTTTAATGTGATTTTTCATATTTTACAATTTGATGTTTTACCTGACCTTACTTTTATATGTTTTTACCTGTATTTTTGACACTTTTATTGTAGGTTGATTTTATCCACTTTGATGTTTTAAGCACTTTTAATCTTTATTCTGTTTTATTTTTATTTTACTTTTTCGATTTTGGGATTTTTCCTATGTGTTTTAATCTTTTTAATTTAGTACTTTTACTTTTCTGTAGTTTGGTACTGTTTAGTCACGTGCAAACGGGTGAAACCCTTATCCGCAAACTCCTTCGGGGGTAGGTCGATTACTATTGGTCTTATTCTAATCAGGCATCAACTACGGTATTTTACATGTTTCGAAAGATAAAGCACCGATACGTAAATATCCTTGATAAATTCATTCGTGAAAATTAAAAAAAGATGAGAAAAGGCTTATTTATCATTCTCCCCTCCTTTTGACGCGTGAGTTTGATGGCGAATGAAAAGATCCTTAAAAGAAGCGGGGTTGACAGATCAGGTACTGAACATGGCATTTTTTTAATTATAAAAATATGTGGCAACTATAATACACAGAAATAGTAAAAATTCAAAAGCATGCATTAAAGTTATCTAAAACACAATAACATCGTTTGGTGTAAAATATAATTATTTACTTTTTGTAGGAAAGGCGGCCACAAGAGGGCAGGAAGAGCAGCAGAACAACTATTGAATGAATACAATCATTACTTCGTTGCAGCTAAACTAGGAATGGATCAAGACAATTGTGAAGAACACTACCAAAAATGCAACCTGAGTCTCTACCCTAAAGGGGATGGGTTCAAAAAAGTCGAAAAGAAAACAAAAGCAAAATCAACAACGCTTTAATGCTGAACATTCTTACATGAGTCCTTGAACTCATGACTTCCGACAATTTCGTTTCTTTTGGTTCGACTGTTATGGCTATAATTTGAAGTTCAATCATACTATTGTTTACTTTGCCTACATGTTTTTCAAAGTTGGTTATTTTTTTTATTTATTTTGTTTATTTATTTTTTTTAGATACCAAAAACATATTAGGCACTTTTCATATTATTCTCTAGTCATTGTAAAGTCCTGTTTCCACCTGATGATAAAAACAGATATTTTCATATATCTTGATAAATTATTCTTTCTTACTTTGATAAATTATCTTTTCTAGTAAGGATCTATGAAATATTTAATTTTTTTCTTCTTCGAAGGAACGAATTAAGAACTGTCGTTTGCTTATTCTGATGCCTTTCTAAGTTTAGTGCTTTAATTATTCGTGATATATTAGATCAATTCTTTATTCCTGTTAACGAATATCTTGTCTTATCAGATATTTTCTTACTTCGATATACAAAAGTTTTCTGAAAGAATAATTTTGACTTCTTAGTGTAAGGAATGAAATTTTTACTATTCTAAGGTAAAATTAAGACTAGTAGAGAATTTTTTTATCGGCCACCCCTCTTCCAATGGTTTTGTGATGTAAACGTCAACAGCTTATTCTCTTTAAGCTTTAGAATTAGAATCTTCAAAGTGAATAATTTTCTCTTTGGAATTGAAATTGTCAAAGTGAAAAGTCAGTCCGTTTTGGTTTGTTTAATTTAAGAAAAATTCAAACCTCTAGGTAATAAAGTTTATTTGCAAGGAAGGGTGAGTGTGTTAAAGACGGGGTATTGGAAAAGTAGTTGCCTATGAACTTTCGGGTATAAAAAGAAATATATTGTTTTTGATTTCGCCTATTTATTATTCATTTATATATTTCTTTTTGTTAGCTGGTATTCTAAAATAAAATAACTTTCTAATTATGTGTTTGTGTATTATTATATATGCATCGTATCAGTTTTGTGTGTTATTGCAATTACAATTAGGTAAATCAAACAACAAAAGAGACAATTATCGAAACTAAACAAAGTAGACAATTATTGCAAAATGCTACACCAAATGATAGGAGAGAATTAACGTAAACTTCCTGAGCCAAATGTCAAGGGATAAAATTATCGCAAAATTCTAAACGAAATAACAAAGGAAGCAATTATCCAAAATTTCCTAAATACAACGAAAAGGAAACAATTATCAACAAAATCCTAAATCAAACAATAAAGAAGAGAATTATCAATAACTATAACCTAAACCAAACGACAATGAAGACAATTGTAGGGTATCTACCACTACAAAATTACAATTACAATTCGCTAGTATATAAGGCCTGTTAGCTAGATTCTATGCTGGGGTACCTTTTCATAGATGAAGGTTGACATTGTCTATAAAAGCTCACCCCCGCATTGGTGACCCGGACGTGATGTGAACATGCCTACCTCGACAGAAACGCCCACTACGATTTGAACACGCCTACTTCGTTGGATGTTCCACATTGAACAGTTGACTTGCTACATGTGACTGCCACATTATCCACCTCCTCGTGCTACTCAGTCTCGATCACACACAACGTAGGTAAGTCGACTGCTAACGGCAACACAGGAGCGACAAGACCGTAGAATTAATACACATCTAGCATTCAGCACTCAAAAGTACGGAGATCTTAATATAGCTCTCCCGGCTTCGCACAAAAAAAAAACAGCAATGACTCAACTAGTGGTATACAGTGGTATCCATCGAATTCTATCACAGATATAATTCTGGTGAGGGAGTACTGTAGGGTATCTACCACTACAAAATTACAATTCACTAGTATATAAACCATGTTAACTCGATTCCATGATGGAGTACCGGGTCATTGAGGAAGGTTGACATTGTCTATAACTACTATCCCCACAACAATTCACAGCAAGTTCTAAATCTAAACAAAGAAAAAGTAGCAATTATCAACGAATTGAGTGGAAAAAAATACCCTTCCCCCGAAAAAATCGTTTATTCAGTGGAAAATATCGCATTTATTGTTCAGTCTTTCAATTCTGGACTCTGGAACTTGGCTAGTTTGCCTTCAGTTGTTAAATTATCCAGGTATAATCTAAGTAATTTCATTACTATTAAAAATTTTAATGTGAGTAAAATAAACTAGATTTAAAAGAAAATACATTAGTGTTATACTTTTGAAGTTTATTTGATAGTTGATATTTTTAAATTTTAATTTTAAATAGGTGATCTTCAATTTGAAATTGAAATGAAGGACTTAGGTATATAGTAATAAGCTACTTAAAAAAATCGCAATTATAGTTCAAACAGTGCATTAGAAATGCTTCCAGATAGATTCTTCACAAGTTTCAAAGATTTCCACTATATAGGGGCTACAATTGATTCGTTTGAGCCATGCATAACGAGAAAAACGGCCGGAATACTAGCAAAGACATGACAAAGTTATTTTTCTGCCTAATAACGGTCAGCCTGATGTCGCGAAAATCGTAAAAAATTATTTGGAAACGCTCAAGTGGGATATTTTACCGCACCTGCTGTATTCGCTGGACATTGCTCCTTCAGATTACTGGTTGTTCCGACGGATGCAGCATGATTTGGCAGGCCACCAATTCACTTCTTTTGCGCAGAAATCGAAAATTGGTTCCTATTGCCTGAGAGGTGGGAAAAGGTAGTAGCCAGCGATGGACAATACTTTGATTAATCTGTTTATTCATCTTGTTCTGAAATAAATGCATTTTTGATCACAAAAAGAAAACGGACCGAACTAATTTGTACACCCAATACCTCAAATTGAATGATATTGCCACCACGTTTTGAGACATACAAGTAAGGAATGATGTCAATATAAAGCTTATTAAACTTATATTTCGAGATATTTTGGTACTTTATAAAGCCTGTCTGGAAAACTGCCCATACAAATTCAAAATACTGTCTATGTATCAATAACATGAAGATTCGCTACAGCAATTCCGTTTTTATAAATGGGAAATATTTTCTTTATCCCCATTTCTATATCTTTGATCTGGATAAAATAGTGGAAATCGATAAAAAAAAAGGGAGCAATATTTCTTACTTCATGTCCTCTTAAATTACTGTATTAAGAAATAAATGTCTGGAGGGATTGGGACAAACTAACCTTAACTGAAACTATTGTGGGAAAGGTAATTTGATTTTTTGCTTATAGCAAAGAGATAAAATAGGAATTTCTAAAGTAAACAAAAATTGATACTGATTTTAGGGAATGCTGCGTATACTTATTTTGATTTATAATGTCTATTTCCAGAAAAGGTATTCGGTTATTTCAAAACAAATTTTCAGTTACCCGATTTTTAAATTAATACTGAATCAATATTACACTTTAATATTAATTATTAGTTATTAATTACCAAGTTATTAATTACCAAGTTATTAATTGCTAGTTTTTAATCATAATTAATTATTACTGACACATTAAATTTGTTTCCCTAAATAGTCCAAATCCGATTATTGATAAAAATAAAAACATCCTGGTCTTTAGAACAGTGGTCAAAGATTTTTTTCTCTCCACTGACGCGTCAAAATTTAAGTTGTTTGGAAGCAAGGAAAGGCTGTCCGTTCATCGTTTAGTTTGGTGAATGTATGACAAATCAGTGTTTGCTACCAACTGTGAAGCATTGTGAAGGTTCACGGATATTTATGGTTTGGGGATGATTTGCCAGTGGCAAAGTTGGAGCTTGTAAGAATAGAGGGAATTATGGATAAAAAATATCATCACAGAATATTGCAGCGTTACGCTATCCCTCGTGGTAAGAGAATAGTTGGTCAATGACTTGTCTTTAAAGATCCGAAAGATTAATCAAAATTGTGAAGAAACTACGTTTCATTAGAAGAAAAGAAAAAAGTACTGAATTGCAGGGCTTGGCTCCCCCAATCCCCCGATATTAAATCTATTGAGCTAATGTTGAGTGTAGGATGAAATGTTCGAAAAATGCGATGTACCAATCAGAACAAACTTTGGGAATCTTCACTTTGTTACTGGAACCAGATCTAACTAGAACATTATAAAAACTAATAAAAAGAATGCCAAAAATATGCACTGTTGTGATTAGGGCTATAGGAGAACATTTCGAATAATCCAAGATTGGACGAAATTCATAAATTACACATAAAATTATAGTACTAACCGCATAAGTGTACCTGTATTAGTCAAAATAAAGTTAATTTATCGTTAATTTAAAGTTAATTAGAGAGTTTTTGAAGATGAGTTAATTGGCGTCTTATCTCTCAATTTCCGATGATAAAACTGACTCGCTTGTATTAAGAAATGGGAGCTCCATGACAAGAGGGGCCTCCATGGCCGAGCCGAGCGGTATCGCCCGCCAAACGCTCTGTTAAGCATGGAGGTGGCGGGTTCGAATCCCGTCGTAACCCTGGATGTATTCTTTGTGATGTCCTTCTCTGTATTGTGCTATCTGTTCTTCTACTTGACAAAGGTTTATAAGCCTTAATTGAGCACACAAGCCTGCAAATGTATGTTGTACCAATAAACCCAGCCGTGAAGACACGGTTCCCAGTAGAACACCGAAGTAAAGCATCACTGGCTGCGATCAGTTTGCGGATGGGTGACCACATGGATCAGTCTGCGTAGGGACCGAGTAGTTCGGTATTGGTCCTCGTAAAACTGTTCTACCGTAAAGNCTGAAGAGCAAAAAAAACTGGTATACCTGCCTAATATCGTGTAGGGCCCCCGCGAGCACGCAGAAGTGCCTCAACACGACGTGGCATGGATTCGATCATTGTGTGAAGTAGTGCTGGAGATAATTGACACCATGAATCCTGCAGGGCTGTCCATAAACCAGTGGGAGTAAGAGGAGGTGGGAAATCTTCTGAACATCACTTGCAAGGCATCCCAAATATGTTCAATAATGCTAGTGTCTGGGGATTTTGGGGGCCAGAGGCCTTCTTCTGAATTTAGACACTTCCGAATAGCTTTCTTGAAACTGTTCTGCTGGAAGACACTCGTAAAACTCCCACAAAACGACACTTTTGCTGACCCTCACCTCCACGTGGTATCGCCTGGACAACGGTTAATCCGGCTAACGAGGGCAGTGGACGTGGGAGCACAAATAGTATCCTACTAAGGAATTCTACTATTCTACCAACTGATATTATCAAAACAACAACTAAATTCTAAAATAAGGAATGATCAAATTGAAGAAAGGAGCACAAATAAATCACATTTAAAAGCAAACCGGTTTGAGAAACTTTCACACGAGTGTAAAATCTCTAAATTAATCTAATTACCGATACATCTTGTAGTGTGAAGATTAACTAATCTTTGATTTTCACATTTAAAAAAGTATCAGGGATTTTCGCCAAGACCGACATATAACTTAGTCATGGATTTCTTTTGACACACCTTTCAAGAAGGAGGAACTTTCGGAATTAAGACTTAAAAACCATAACAAATGACCGTGTACGAAAAAACAATGGAAAATAGGTAAAAACTTAAAACGATAATAAAACTTATATTCGAAAGAGAATTTTCGAACATATAAGTAAGTAGAAACTGCAGAAGTATTTTTAAAACTAAAACTTTGGAAAAGTTTTAAAGCTTTGAAATATTTTTTTAATAATAGGTTTATGCTCATTTAAAAAATAATTATCTTTAGTGTTCGCTTCTTTTTGTGCAATATATAACCGAAGTAACGATAAAATAAACGTATTAAAAAAGTCTTTTCAAATATTAATTCACGATTAAATTAAATATACTTATATAGGATGTATAATGAGTTTTCCCCCCGTCCAAAACGAGGATAGTGTATACTTTGTATTACGTAGACTGAAGCAAAAACGTGTATATTAAGTGCAAATAAAGCAAAGAATTGGACATACTGTAGTTAAAGTTTTCGAAACAGGACTACGTAAAGTTACTGTTGGACACTGAGGGAGG